AAGAAAGTTAAAATGTCTGAGGTATATAATGAGGAAAGAAGGCTTAGAGAATTTAACACTGATTCTTATTGATTCATTTTCTACGGATTATTAACACTATTCAAACTATTCAAAACTGGAAAATATTTTTAGATTGAATTTTTTTTTTAGATAATAATGGCTTTAGTGATACAAGTCTTACTAGTTAACCCATAGCTGGCGGAGAAGAAGTGTATTCATACGTTTCCCAAGAGTATTTGCACGTGAATATAGCGAACCCAACGGGAATTGGGACTCAGCTCTCCGATTAACAATTCCGAGCCATTATCCTTTACACCACCGGCACATCATAGCTTAAAGCGCCTTGTATTTTTAAGTGTTCACCGATCTAGGTACTGACCAAGCTAGACGTTGCTTAACTTCAGTGATCGTACGGGAACCGGCTTCAACGTGATGTGGCCGTAAGTTCTGTTTTTTTCTTTTGCAGCTCTTAGTAAATGCTTTTTTCATTATCTCTCCTAAACCTTATTTGATCATCCATTTATATAAGTTCGTTAGATAGATGATGGTCTATTTTCCGCTGCCCATTCTCTCCTCAATCTGTCCCGTGAGTGTCAAAGTTTCTAAGCCCTCTTACCTCATTATATACCCTACAGATTTCAAATGTCTCTCCTGATTATGAGTATAAGTAACCTTTTTATTTCCATTTTATTTAAATCTTCCTTATTGTTCGTATATTTAATGCATGGTATTCTCCACATCCTTCTGTAGAACAATATTTCTCTTTTCTCAAGTTTCTTCTTAATCTCAATAGGTAGCGTAACGAACTCGGTCGAAATTGGTACTCTTCTCATTCATTTCTCTTTCCGGGTCAAAAGAGGTAGTGTAGCCAAGGCAAAAAGAAGAGATCACTGTGTCTTAGTAATAGCAATTGCTATAGAGTTTACTCTAGACTATAAAGTAGAATGTGTAAATTCCGTACAGAATTTATTGGCACTGTAAACCAGCAATCGCTCATAGGGAATGGAAGAATATATGACTGTCTGCGACTTGGAGGATCACTAGAGAACGTGGAATCTGTCTTGAAAATTATGAAAAACACGGTTCTTCTTGTAAACTATATTCACCTCCTTATGTTTTCCATCCTACTGGCTAATGATAGTTCCAACATTACAATGCAACCATCCATCGCATGTGGGTTACACGAAACTGTTTCTCGGAGCATTCAGCGTATCTCAGGAACTGCATTAGTTTCTGTCGTCACCTGATTTAAATCCCGCTTAGCATTTATAGAATATTGCTACAGGTCCACCCCCTTCATTCTTTGCGTCCAAATCCAGAATTCAGTTAAACATTCTTGGACAATTTATATTCATGGAACTTAAACATCTCATAGATTCTATGCAACGTCGCTTACCGCCGTTATTCGTTCGGGGGGAATGCGGCTACCCCCTCTCTCTGTCTCGCGGTTCATATTCTATCGAACAATGTTGGTATTTATAAGAATATTTTGCTAGAAACGAACTCAATCCTCACTATCCAGCCTAGGCACTGCGATTACACAGCCTTGTGGGTGATGAATTATTCTCCACCCGGCAACGCTTATCCCACAAACGAATAAAGTATTGGCTGCCATGTCTGGGCAATCTTCCCTGTCCAGCCACGAGAGAGTTCAAAATCGCTTACACGGCCCTGTTGGGTGATGAATTATTCTCCACTTGGCAACGTTTATCCCACAGATGAAACGTCGCCAGCCTTTCTCTACTCTATCGCTATTGCCACGGCAGATGTTCGGACAAGATACAGTCTTTACGGCTACCAGCTCGGACCATTGCTGCTAGAAATCATCATGTGTTCGCGTTAGCAAACCATCAGCATTCCCCGTTCGCGTTCCTTAGATCAAAATCAAATTCTACTCAGACAGCTTCTTCCTCCAGAACTGCTACTCCCGTGAAACAAACTCCCGAGAGAATGCTTCACTGACAAATCTTGATCTCAGAATCAACCAAGATCTACCTTACTCGTCCTCATAATACTCTCTTACTTCGCCCAACCCCCTACCTTATAATCTCACTGAGTAGCCCTCTACCTAGAATGGCTCTTGGGCCTTATATTCGGTGAACAATCAGTAAAAAAGAAAAAAACGAAAAGAGTAATGAACTGCCATGTAATATCAATCCTTCTTTATGGTTGTGAATGCTGGACAATCTCATTACAGATGAAGAAGTCACTTAAGGCAACAGAAATGTGGTTCTACAGAAGGATAATGAGAATGACATGGACGGAGCATATGGGTAACTGGAAATTCTTATAGAAAATGGAAACAAAAAAGACACTGAGAATCAGAAAAAGTAACTTAAAATTTATGGGTTATATATTGGGGAAAGAAGGATTTGATAATTTGGCACTGACTTTTTTTTATTGAATGATTCGTTTTCTATTGCTGATCTGCAGACAAATGCGGACAAAGTTTGATAAATTTGCCAAAGTAGAGAACTATTTCGTTGACTTGAGGATGCATTTCGTCATCGTCAGATAAGCTTCCTCAGATCAGAACAAAAGAAATATATGTGTGCGTGTAAGCTTCAATATTAAATCGTTAATTTTTTTTTTTTCACTAAGCTGGCGTACCTCGGTCAGGTTGAAAAACAATATTCTTGGAATTAAAAGCCGTTATTTGAATTTTTACTGTTTTCTTTTCAATTTTTCTTGTTTTGTCGAATTTTTTTTTTATATATATATATATATATATATATATATATATATATATATATATATATATATATTCTCCCAGTTTTTTGCTTTGTTTGGATTCTGTATCCTATTCTTTTACACATCTTTCCAATGCCACAGTTCTCCTACATCATCTAGAAAATGCTGACAATGATATAGGACTATATAATAGACTTCAACCATTAAGGTTTAGATCCAGTGAAAGGACCCAAAGAGTGTGAGTTCAATACCTGGTTAAGGTAGTGGAGAACTTGATGAGAGGAATTAACAGGAGATAACTGACAATTGACATCCATTAAACATGGCACGTGGACCTAGAACAGTCTACCCCAGTGAGCGAAATAAAGGGTTCAGTTCGACATTCCAACCACCTGAAGAAGGCCGGAGCGTACAACGACCGAAACGTTGTAATAAATATGGCGACAAAGATGAGGACAATAGTCTAGAGTTATAGGGATTTTTTATTTTCCGAACACGGTTAGCGCATTGTGGCCGTGTTCGTAGTTAATATTAAGTCATTATAGCAAATATTAGGATGAGAGTGGCTTTTCAGATTAAAAAGTGAAACTGTATACGTTCAATTTTTGTCGGGAACCGCATTCTCTTTAGCAAGACTTTCGACTATCAGGCAGGTAGATTTTCGGTTCAATATAATAAAAAAAAAGCATGGATATCTTCTGAAACATGTGTAGTCACTAAATTAACCTTTATAGCATGAATAAATAATACTGAATTAAAAAATCAATTAATTTCTTTATATATATATATATATATATATATATATATATATATATATATATATATATATATAGAGAGAGAGAGAGAGAGAGACTTGTATATTAGTCAATCTCAATCTTTTCCACTCTTTTGATTTTCAGCTGCTTTCAATTCAGTGAGGTGGAACATCTTTCAAAAATCCGTCGGATTATCTGCCAAGAAAGAAAAGAAAAACATTACGGAACAATGTGAAAGATGTGACGATGACTGGAGTCCCTTTAGATATAGAGTCTCCTGGGAATACCACCCACCTTCGGCGTCACGGGGGTCCCAGTTACCCTTGCTTTGATCCGAAAAAGTTTTTCGTGGCGCCACCACCGCGGAGATACGACGCGGAAAAGCGAGCCAAGGAAGCTGGTACAATAATTTTAAAACAGCAACACTTTGGAGTTTCTCCCGACCATAAACCATCGATTATGTACGTAGCTGAGGTCACACGTGCATAAGATTGGTAGACATCGTCATATGATAAAACTTTGCTAGCTCGATTTAGTAACTAGATCAGTAGAGTGTCGCTCGAGAGATCTTAGGTTTAATTGCATTAGCTATATCAGCTCCAGGGTATGAGAAATAATTGGCCTCACTCAAAGACCAGAGCTGAGAGTTGATTTTAATTGTATTAACCATTTCTGGCTGGTGGTGGTGGGGGGGAGAGTGGAAAGAGAAAACAATTCGTTTAACGCAGGTATCAGAGAAGTGAGCTGACAGGCTATGTATCCGTAGTCAAGATTCTATAAAACGGAAACCACAATTATATTTAAAAGCGACAATTGAAATTTCTAGGACACATAATGAGGAAAGACGGCTCGGAAAATTTAACACTCATAGAACATATTAAAAGCAAGAGGGATAAAAGAAAATAGATAGTATAGAAGATGAGGGAAAATGATAGGAAGTTGTGGAGAGCTATGGTCACGCCCGTCTTGAAATTTGATGATAAGTCAAGATTTTGCTGTATTCACTCTTGTTTTATTCCAAATTTAAAGACCTTTCGCCTTACGGCCATATCATTCTCGTACGATCACCGAAGTTAAGCAACGTCAAGCTTGGAGAGTATCTAGATAGGTGACCACTTAGAAATACCAGGTGCTGTAAGTGTGGGTGGTGTAATGGATAACGGCTTGAAATTAGAAATTTGTGAGCCGGGTTTCAATTTCAGTCGAGTTCGTTGCATTTACTTACGCGTTGGGCGAGGTGGGAATCCACCTCGTCTTCCCCCAGCTATGGGTTAAATAGTAGAGCATTTATCAGTAAATCATTATTATGTCCAAAAGAATTATTATAATCTAAACATATTTTCTGTCATTAAATAAGCCGCAAAGGGTTGATAAGCCGTCAAAAATCAATCAATTAAAGACATTTGCTTCTGATGAATAGATGAAGTTCTTTTCCATTTTCCAGTTTTCTATTACTTCGTGGCAAGTGAATGTAACAAACCCAACAGGAACTCGGCTTTCAAATTAACAATACCGGGCCATTATCCATTACACCACGAGTACAACAATTACAACTTACAGTACCTTTTATTCCCAAGCGGTTACCCATCTAGGTACTTACTAGAATCGACGTTGCTTAACATCGATGTTCGCATGGGAACCAATATTTCAACGTGATATGGCCGTAAATCTGGACTGTCAACAGCTCACTGTGGATTAATTGAGGCCAATGAAGACGGTTCTAAGCGGTGTTTTTCCCAGTGTCAGGGTTCATATTAAAGGGTACATCTTATTTAGAAAGCTGTTTAAGTTATGCCTGCTTCATAAATCCGGCTAAGCAGGCATAATATCCATCTCACGCACGGTGAATACTAGACCTGGTTTCTTTAGTATTTCCCCTTTTCGAGCGAGATTAATGCTCGACAAGCGTACATATAAATTTTAGTTCAAAATAGAATTCTTTTCATTTTTCATTCAAAATACTCAAATTTTAGGAATACATTTTCACAGCGTCGCCCACGTGACGACAACGTGACCATGTTTTAAATGGAGCGCTGATTTTATAAAACTTTCAGTTATTCTGTTTGGATAAGTCTTGTTCTTATGTACATTGTCTTTGTCATGTTGTATTGATAATGTTATAATTTATGAATATGTCCTGAAGATGGTTTATTAGACCGAAACGTCCGACGTTGACATATTAACATTAAAACAGCATAATTGTATATAAGGATTTTTGTTTGTTTTTTCCGTATATATTTTTCCATATATATATATATATATATATATATATATATATATAGGGTATTGATTTTATTTAGTTTGAGAGTTCACGATGCTGGATGAAAAACGAAGGCTAATTGTTAAGTATCACCACTTACTGGATTGTAATTACCAATAAAGTTACCAAAGGCGATGTAAGAGACTGTAGTCAGAGCGTAAACCAAAGAAGAGGATCCACAGCTCAAACCTCTCAAGTAATATTGTGTTATAATGCATATCTGTGACTCTGTGCCATTCAAGTTTTTCTAACTGCTGTGTGCTGCAGACAAACGTGAAAAAAACCATCAGATATAAAGTTATCTGCGATCTCACGGAAAATTTTAAATTAGTATAACTAAAACGCTTTACGTATAATCCATGGAAATTTGTTGCCGTTTTCCTATTTTGGTCGCTGTAATCTTCGGCCTTCTTCATGTAGTTACTATGACACATTTGATTCTTTCTGACCATTTTCCCCAACTTTACCTTTCGGCTGCTTTAATCTCCGACCTTCTTCATGCTGTTACTATTATTCTTCTCGGACCAAATTTCTAAGTTGGTAACATTTCTGCCATTGTGAACTCCGAGTCAGGAGACCAGTGGATGGGAGCAAAAGAAATAAGTTGTTAACTAAAAATTACGGGTACTTAAAAACAATTGGAATGACAAAACACCAATGTGACTAATGTGGGGCTAAAAGACATGCAATGTATCCATGAGTAGAATTTAGTTTTTAAATGTACTGCATTTTCCTGAATCTCATTTGTCCGAAATTTATCTCTGTGGAGTTTCCAGGGTTCTAAAAGTGGCTTATATGACAGATATTTATCGGAGCTGGCGAACAAAGGAATAATTCGTTTATTATAAGAATTGACCATTTCGATTCAGTATTGTTTTATTTATATTGTTTTTCCTTCTTTAAAGTAGTGAATACTGGACAATCTCCTCAAGAATGAAGAAGAGACATGAATTAACAGAAATGAGGGTCTGCAGAAGGATGCTGAGGATAGTATGGATCTAACATGTGAACAACGAAGTTTTAGAGAAAATGGAAACTTATACATAACATCAAGACAGTTGAAATTTCTAGGGCACATAATGAGGAAAGAGAGCTTGGAAAAGCAGATACTCACAGGACAGATTAAAGACAAGAGGGACATAGGGAAATAATTCATAACCTACTTAGTGAGCTTGAGTAAATGGATGTCGGAACAAGGTTTACGAGAATCAACAAAAAGACAAAAATTATTAAGAGCTACAAATGAGAGGAAATTGTGGAGAGCCATGATCACCTATGCCCTGAATGGAAACGGTACATAACGAAGCAGATTGTCTTATTTAATAATAATAACAAAGATCTCGAATCGAAAGAATCAATGTCTTAATAGTACACTATCAGATAGCTTGGAATTTCCAACGGCTGCAATGTTATAAAATCCGCTAAGATGTAGGCACTTAGTCTAAAATAATTAAAGAAGAAGGCCAGAGATTACATCGACTGAAATGTGAACAAAATGAAGAGAAATCTTCTGAAAGACTTGATTTGCAATCGGAATAAAATGAAGAAGGTTGGAGATTATAGCGACCGAAACATGAACAAACTTGTAATGATGGAGAAAGTGTGTCTGAAAGAATAGCATGCGTTGCCCTTAAATTTTATGTTGGGTGAACATCAGTAAAATTAAAATAAAATAAAATAAAAATATAATATGAAGATGGCCGGAGATTGCATCGACCGAAATGTAAAAAATCGCAAAAAGATGTTCCAAACGTGTTAATGTGTAATAGTAACATGATGAAGCCCAGAGATAACAGCGATTGAAATATTATAAACACTACAAAACAGGGAGAAATTTAATTCAAAATAATCCATGTGCAATCGTACCAATATGAACAAGGTAACATTACAGCGACCGAATCGTGAAAAACCGCAGAGATGGTGAAAATGTTATGAAAGTGTCAACGTGTAATAGTAACAACATAAAGAAGGTCGAAGATTACAACGACCGAAATGTGAAAATAATTCGAAGAGGAGGAATAGAACAGTAACATCAGCTTGTCGTATAAATTCTAACCAAAAAAAAAATGAATTTATTTCGCCTGATAATAAGTCCATTCATTTTTCATTGTCACGTCAAAGGTAATGAAAAAAATATAATCGTTAGTTTTATAAGTGTAAACAAACAAAGAAATGCATGTCGATAGGTGTTGATATGGTGAAAACCAAGTTTACATTATATTCAGCATCCAAACAAACAAACGATGAAGAAAAGAAGTAAATAAGTTATATATTAACAGGAACTCAGTTGTAGTTCATACACAAACACATAAGCTCGCGGGATTCATCGATAGCCATTTTAGTGCTTTCAATTCTTTTGAGGTGAAGACCCCAACTTTACGCTCGGCCAGTTTACAAAAGAAGGGAGGAGACTAAACCCTGGGTGCTGAGCCAAGGAGGGCAAGAATAGACTTTTAAATAAATAACTCAATCTGAATCGCGACGAATAAGTACAGATTGTTTGAATGATACCCATGTCTTTTAAATAAGGTGGATTTTTTTTACAAATGCAGGCTTGATTGGTATAGTGGCAACAAAGAGCTCAATTGTCCTCAACTTGAGGTTAGATTGCCTTTCTTGAGATATTTATATATAAGACTGATCTTGCTTGAGTTCGCAAGCCTCACTGATCAGAGTATATGGGATTTACGGAGTTAATAAATGCTTAGTAGATCAGAAAATTCTTATTTTCCCCAGGCGAATTATTGTGTGGCAAGCTTGACCTGTCAGAATTGTTCAATGAAATCTTTAAGTGACTAAATAAATTCTTAAATTGACGAGAATATTGGGAGTTAATTTAACACAATTGCCATTGACTCCTGGGATCAAATTACAAATGTTGAATTTAATGGTTAACACGTTATTCACCAAATTGGTAGATAGTTGAAAGGATTAAGCAGATAAAGGGATTAAGCAGTTGAGGGGATTAAAGCGACGGATACGGATTGCTGAGTTGCAATAAAATTAAAAGCTTCTTCGTCTTCTTCTTCTTCTTCTTCTTCTTCTTCTTCTGAAGAAGAAGAAGAAGAAGAAGAAGAAGAAAGAGACAGTTTACTATTTACATTATTCAGAATATTGTTTTCATCTTTGTCGCCATATTTATCACAACTTTTCGACCGTTGTACGCTCCGGCCTTCTTCAGGTGTTTAGAATGTCGAAATGAACGCTTTATTTCGCTCGCTGGGGTGGACTGTTCTAGTTCTACGTGCCATGTCTAATGGATGTCAGTTATCAGTTATCTCCTGTTAATTCCCCTCTCCAAGTTCTCCACCGCCTTAACCAGGTATTGAAAACACGCTCTCTGGGTCCTGCCACTGGATCTAACTAACGCCTTTATCCACTGTGCCATGTGTCCTTGAGGACAAGTGGAGAACTTGTGCCTAGGCGATCATGACTCTCCACATTCATATTCATTATCATCTTTGAACGACATTAACCTAAGAACTAAATTCAGGTTCTTAAATTAATGAATGTTATGCATGACTCGCAACCAATTCATAAATGTTCAAATTGTCGTCTGTCACCAACCGCACCCCCCCAGATCGATGATTAACAATGGCTTCGAGCAAGGTCTTAGAGACGACTATCCTTACTTGAATCTCGTGGACTGGCGCCACAGAACTAAAGAACTGAACCAAATAACAGAAACCACATCACTCGAGGCATTTCGACAGTAGCAACAGCTAAAATAAATATCGCATGTAACTCGAAGAAAAAGTAATGACGTAATCAATATGGTTGACGTTCAACACCACTTCGAACAAAAGGAAGGAAGGAAACCTCCATCAATACTGGAAATAGCAATAACAGTTAGTGGATTTGAGAAAGCTATTTTCCTGAAAAATTAAGAAAAGTATTTTATAAATTTCAACATCATGTAGCACTCTCTGTTCGTCGAATTAATACCAAATTTTTCCATGTGAGGAAATAGTTAATATCTCCATTACAATTAACATAGTGAAGTGGCTTTCTTGTTGCCTTTCCAACAGACTGTAATTCAAAGATTCTCTTTTATTACACGGAGTGGCAGCCAAGGCTATAGAATCAAGTCTACCGCGCTATTTAACCCATAGCTTGTTGGAGGTGAAAAGAGATAGATTCATCTATCTCCCAATGACATTAGTTTGAAAGTGAATGCCTCTGACTAGCTTCGCCCAGAATTTGAATTCGCCAAGCAAATTCCATAGCAATAACAATTATACTAATCTCGTTCCTCATTGTAAAAGTATATATATTGTTTTGTCCATTCAGGACGTAGGCGATCATGGCTCTCCACAGATTTCTTTTCTTTATTATATGCGAATTGGAGTGTATTCTTGGGGAAGGTAGCTGAGTGGTTTGGTATTCAGAGTTAAGCTCATTGCTAC